GGACTTCTCCAGACCACCAAACAACCCTGTGGCAGGACACATGGCACCTACGAATAAAACCCACCTATCATGGAGACTCAGAGATGGTGTAGCAGGGGATGCTGCCAATCCAGAGCAGAGTGTTTGTGGCTGAGGCTTTCTATTTCCAGGCTATAGAGCTATCAGACCTTTTTAATTCAAGCCCACTTCAAATGACAGGGACAGATTTGCAACCAATGTAAATTCTCTGGAGCTATGTCTGGTTGCTCCCACTGAGAATCTGGTCCCTGCACTGTTCTTTTTGGGCGAATTCAGTGACTAAACTCTGTTTGTTCATTTATAACTCTATGGTTTATAGAAGAGGCAGCCCTGGAAGGTTTTTGCAGCACTGTTGTATCCAAGGAGTACAGCATTTTAATCTCAGGGCATCAAAATCCTTTTGGCTGCACATAACCAGAAATCTTGTTCTACTGACACTAAGTAAGGCTTGCCACATGTGGCCCATTAATCAATAGACTGCACTGTACATTAGGGTCCTGGAAAATTTACCCTAAAGATGTGTCTAAATGGTACCCTAGAGATGGCCCAGGTACCTGCCTTCATGAGACAAAGACCAAAAGGCTCTCTGGTCCAACCAGCCCCTAGGAACCCCGGTGGTGGTACACTCCTCCCACCCAGGCTGGGAGTATGGGCCTCGAGGGGCAGGGTTGAGACTGGGTAGCTCACACCCCCTGGGCGTTTGCTCCCTGGGAGTGGGCTGGCAGGGAATGGACTCTGAATGATGTCACCCTGACTCCATCATAGAGCGTAGGTTGGTAGCTCCCCGTTGCCATGGGAACTTGCTGTTTTGCAATCCTGCCTGCAGAGGTGCAACAGCTGGAGCATAGCAGGTAATGGCTCAGGCCAAACACACATACCCTGCAGTGACTGGCTGCCCCACCCCAGGGTGGTAGCCTGTGGGTCAGAGCACTGTAGTCAGTCTGTGGGGCTGGGTTGTGTTTAGGGCAGGGAGGATCTCTAGCTGCATTGTCCCTTGTTCAGTAATGCTAGGGTTAGTGCTAGCTGAGGCAGGGGGATGCGTGGGGTGGGGGGAGAGGAGGTTCTCCTGCTGTTTCCTGTGCTAGGGAAGGACTTTAGTCAAAGCTCACTCTTATCACCCATGGGATGAGCTTTATTCTTGTCACCCTCGGGGAGGACCAAGATGGTGATGATGCTCAGAGAGGGTCTCTCAATCCTGTGTCAGTGCAGTGTCTTAGGGGACTTTGAGCAAGCAGAAGGGCAGCAAGAAGTTCCCAAGGTGATAAAATGAAATTGAAAAACAACATCACGTAGGGGGATGGGACTGCTGTGGAATCCTGCCGTGTTTGTTCAGAGACAGGGCAGATGATTTCCCCTTATGTGAGCCCTTCTCTGATCCTACATGGTACAAGGTACCGGTGCCCTGTCCTAGGAGTACAGCAGCTTTGGAGCACTGCAGTTAATTGATGGGCAAACCAACCATGGAGAAGCCCCTTATTCAAAGTTGTGGCGATGCTGGAAAAGGCAGCAGTAGGCCGTGAACTTCATGTATGGTTGATGGGCCATGTGCAGCATCCTGACCTCAGAAGCAGCTTCAGCTGGGAAGAGACATGCCAGTCTTGTATTGACTCCCACCCAGAGAAGCCGTCAGGAATGAATGCAACATGGCTATCCAGACCTGCTGGCAACCTTGTCACACAAACAGTTTTGCCACCTAACAGCAGGTCAGGCAGCCAAAGATAGCGAGGAACCAATTCCCATAAAAACAGCGTCAAGCGCTGGAGGCTACGTGATGACTGTGCGTGTTATCGGAGCAGAATATGTGGTCTTCTGGCCAAAGTCTATGAGGATCTGCAGCCAAGAAACAGGCTGCAGATCCAAATGGACCTAGAAGCTTGGTGCAACTTCCAGTGAATTGCAGCCAGTCTTTGCACACAACGGGTGGTGGAGGAAGTGTGGCAGTGTTAGGAGCACAGGGCACATTGTATAAGGAACCGGTTTCGCCTCGTGCCTGTGAACCCAGGGCTGGGTGCAGATTACCTGGTGCAAATCCTCGGACAGACTGTGAACCCTTTGTCTGATTCAGTGGTGCCCTGTATTATGTTATTTCTGACCTGTAACCTGCAATGTACAGTGCTGATAGTGGCTGTGTTGTAGACCTGCCTGAGACACATAATTAAAGCCTATGGGAGCTGCCAGGAAGCAGGATGGACACAGGTGACTGCAAATTCAGAGGCCCCTCCACAGTCCTAAGTTACTGGCTTCACAGGGGAAAGTCCGTCCAACAATTGGCATTTCCTTCAGGCTGCTGCATCTTGTGTTAGCCATTGACCAATGTCGTACGGTGTTACACTGTAACAGAAACAATTAAGGGAGGGTTCCAAGGAGAGTGCTCCATGTTCCCAACCCCTCACATCTCAATAAAGCTAAAGTGTTGTTGCCCCTGATCAATTACACTAGATTTACACTCAAGGTACGTCTATACTACAGAGCTTTTACGGGATACTGGAGGTATCCCGGAAGAGCTCTGCCATGTCCAAGGAACGCATCTGCTTTTCCGGAAAATTTTTTTTGGAAAAGCAGATGTGTTTTTTTGGCATCCCTGTAAATCTCATTATAGAAGGAAGAACGGATGTTTTGAAAAGAGGGGTTTTCCCCAACATTTGGCCCCGGGTAGATGGGCCAAATGTCGGAAAAGCCTCTTTTGGAAGAAAAGTGGAAAAACATACGCAAATTACGGTTCACAATTTGCATATCTTTTTCCGACTTTTCTTTGTAGCGTAGACACAGCCTCAGTCAGAGCTCCTGCTGCAGTGCTCCTTGTGAAAATCATTGTGGAAAGGGGCTTTGTTGGGGGAAAGCTACTGCAGCATAGATTGTTAAGCAGCTACACGCTACGGCTATGTCTAGACTGCCCCTTCTTGCATAAAAAATATGCAAATGAGGCAAAGCGTGGACTATTGCCACGCCTCATTTGCATAATTAATGAGGCTCTGTATTTGTGCAAAACCCCCCCTCTTGCGGAAGAGCCGTTCTTCTTTTTTTCAGGAAGAATGGCTCTTGCGCAAGAGGGAGTTTTTGCGCAAAAAGGAGCTGTGTAGACGTCTCCTTTTTGTGTAAAAGCCTTTTGTGCAATAACGGAGTCTCATTAATTATGCGAACGAGGTGTGTCAATATTCTATGCTTTGCCTCGTTTGCATATTTTTTTGTGCAAGAGGAGGCAGTCTAGACATAGCCTAAGGGTATGTCTACACTGCAACACTATTTCAAAATAACTAGCACTATTCTGAAGTAACTTAGTCCAGAAGTAACTTACATATCAGGCAGTTATTTCGAAATAGTGTCAAAATACTGTCAAGCTGGAGGACTTCTTACTCCTACTCCTGTAACCCTCATTGTACGAGGAATAAGGGAAGTCAGAAGAAGAGTGAACTATTTTGAAATACGTCCTGTGTAGACACTCCCTATTTCGAAATAAGATACACAATTGACATAGCTCAATTTGCATAGCTTATTTCAAGTTAAGCCCTGCAGTGTAGATTCACCCTAACTGTCTTCCATTCCAGTCTTCATCTCTTCTGGCCCTTGATTGCACCTATTTTGGCATCTGATGGCTCAGCTGTTGGATCAGGGACTTAACTCTTAAAATGGGATGGATCTGGCCAGTGTTATTTTCAGGTGGAAAAAAAGCTTAGTTTTGGAATCATCAAATGTCAGGATTGCTGCCATGGGAGAAAGTTCATCCTGATCAGGAATCACATCCGTTTTGATTAAAATTCTGGTGCTTGTGAAGAAGTAGGGATGCTTCTGTCCACAGCCTGCCTTCATTGTTGGGCACGGTTGCTGGTAGCCTAGGGTTGGGATGCATGCTATCAGGGAAGCGAAGGCAGATAGGACAGGAGTTATCTGGGCTCCTCACAAAGGAATAAGCCCATCTCAGGGGTGGCCTTCAGGATGCACCCTTTAACAGCTGAAGAGATTTCCTAAGCCCACATCTACAGAGGTGGTGGGAGTCACAGTGAAAAACTGAGTCAAGCACAGATGGATTCATGAGACATTCTTGTGACCCATGTTCTCTCTAATCTAGGGGTCTCAGACTCACAGACCATGGGCCATCCTTGGCCAGAGCAATCTGCTCCAGGAGAGGCCTGTTTGTGCCCACCATCACACCGCCCTCTCCCTCCATGTCACCCTGTCTCCAAGGACGTGGCCTCAGGGATTACTGGAGGGTCCTGGCATGCAGAGCTGCAGGAATCCACCTCCCCCCCCCCTCGCACAAAGCAGTTGCTGTGAGGAAATGGAGCACACACAGCTTCCCCCAGGGCTCCTGCTGCCACAGGCGGTGCAGGGAGGGCCCAACTGCTGCTACATGCCAGGCCCCCCAGGTAATCCCCAAGGCTGCATCCTCAGGGATGAGGGTGCCAGGGGTGGGAAAAGGCAGGGCAGTGGTGGGAAGGGAGTGGAGTTGGGGGAACAGTAATGAACAGACCAACCCCCTCAGCCCAGTGGGAATCCGGGGCCAGATTGCACAATTACTCCAGCCAGGGATGGCCCACAGGCTGGGAATTTGAGACCCCCTGCTCTAATCGTTTCCATCCATGTGTGGATTTTTTTCATCCAGGTGCGGATGAAATTTTTTAAATCAGCACTGTTGTGCATATGTGCACCACCCGTAGAAACACAAAACCTAGCTGTGGACATTCTGTTAATCAGTAGGGCGGCCTTTGAATTTCTCCTGAGTGGCTGCACAAGCACACAGCTTACAGAGAACACTGCTCGTGATCCTACTGGAATTGTGGAAGCCCAGAGCTGTTTGCTGTCGATAAGAACTCTTCAGTATGGATGGGAGACAGAAATTGTAGGCCATATAGCGAGCCATGAGCAAGCTTGGCCACAGCCTGCTCCATTATGTGTAGCAAGTTGCCTATGAGGCGTTCAGCTGGGCAAAATGTGGATGCCCTTAGTATATTGCCTAGAAGGCTAATTAGTTTCTTTTCCTTCAGGTGCAGTGGATCCAGTCTCCTCAAGCCCCACAACCATGGACAGAATGACTAGGGAACAGCCCCTGACCAAGCATGAGAAGATGATGATTGTGAGCAGTCTCTTGAAGCAGGCCCCACCTGAAGAGTTCTGCGAGGCCTTCAGTGACCTGCGCCTGCTGGTGAGTGATGACAGCCTGATGTGCCAGGAGGCTGCCTCCCTCTGTGCTCTGTACAACAAGCTCCATTTCGCCCCTGTCAGGAGCAAGGAGTGTGAGGTGCTGCTGACCCGCCACAACGAGCTGGAGGAAAACCACTTCTTTGACCCCCAGAGACAGGTTTCTTTCAAATTTGACCATGTGAGGCAAGAGCCAAGTGAGTTTCAGGCTCACCCACAAGAAGATGAGATGGGTGAGGCATGGAGAAGGGCCCTCTATGAAGGCCTGAAAGTATACGTCAGCAGCCATTATCCCGGGGGGCTTTGCAGTGTCTTCATCAAGGACACTGCTATCCGGAAAATCCTCATTGCCTGCATTGCGGGTCGGCTGCACCGACCCTCTGCCTTCTGGAATGGCCTGTGGAAGTCAGAGTGGACTTTCACCCTGACTCCCACCTCCACTTCTACCCAGGTAGCTGGAACCATCATGGTGCAAGCTCACTACTTTGAGGATGGCAACATCCACTTGACGGTGTGCAAAGACGTGGCTGAGACTCTTCCCGTCACCACTGAGACCCAGACCACTCAAGACTTTGTGAAACTGCTGGAGGATGCAGACAACGAGTTCCAGGGTGAGCTGATGGAAGAATACCAGAGGATGAGCAATACCCACCTGAAGGCTTTCCGGAGACAGCTGCCCATTACCCACAGCATGATCGACTGGGAGAAAATAGTGACAGCTAAGATTGTGGAGGCAGCTGCTGTCCAATGAGAGGCCAGTTTGTATGGGATATTGGAATACAGTGTTCAGGGAAGGGGGAAAGTACTTAACACCCTATACAATAAATAGAGAAAAAGAAAACTTAAAAAAAAGTCAGAGAAAATGAGGGACGGGAAGAGTTCTATGGTGTCCAGAGCCAAGGTGCTCTCCCAGGAAGTAGGAAGTGCCAGCTGGAGGAGTCCTGCTGACCAATGCTGACTGAGAGCTCACGCAGACCAACAATCAGTCACATTGTGTGTCAGCTTGTTCATAAAGTGGAGGAAATTCCAAGAAGAGCAACCAAATTGAGGAGAGGGCTGCAAAAAGAGAGATTTAATGATAGAGCAATGAACTGCACTTGCCCTATGTCTCTTCATCTCTTAGGCCTCTTTGACACACAAGATCAGAGCCATATAGTTGTTATACCCCCTTCTCAGGGAGTAGTTTATTAACGTATCATATCTTCGTCTCTCTTCCCAGTCCCTCGGTGGGGCATGGCTTCTCCTTTCTGTGGCCTGGCTGCTTTGCCCTTTCAAGCCATCTCTCTTTTCTCAGCCTCTACCAGACAAATGAGTTTTTGTCAGACTCCCACCAAATGAACACAGTTCCTCCTTCGCAAAGTCTGTTTGCAACCAAACACACACCACCAGCCTTTCCACAACCATCCTTCCCCTTCCCCCCGCCCCAGCACTGTTGTCCCTTTGCAAGAGTGACCTTTTTTGGGTCAGGGCTACTGACCCACAGAAAAATCAGTTGGGGGCCACACGCAAGTGAGAAGACAACCCCACAAGCACTCACCTCACACTCAACTTGGGGCACTGGGGCTCCACTCAGCCTCCAGTTCCATGGGAGGGGCATTGAGGCTCAGGGCTTCCCCCGACAGTGTGGATGCTTGCTACAGGCTGAATCTAAGTAAACTGGGAGTTGGCTCCAGCCTCCGGGCTGTAGACTCCCCACCCTTACTTTAGAGACACGGGGTTTCCCAGGACTTTCCTTGGGACTGTAGTCTCTAAACGTTTAGGTTGCTCTTGGAAGGCTTTCCAGAGTGCTTTTCTCAGGACCTCAGCCAGGCCTCATTCTTCTTCCCTACTGGTGCCCTATGCAGCCCAGCACCAGCACAACCTCTCCTCTCCCCTCCCTCTCCAAAACGACTGAAGCTGTGGAAAAGTGGGTTGCCAACTCTTCCTGACTGGACACCATTTACTGCAATGGTGTCCAGCCCACCTCTTCCAGAGGAGTTGTCAATGCAGGAGCAGGGCCGGGAGGGAGACACGGGCACGAGGCGCACCAGGCAGCCATGTCGCCAGTTGGAGAGAAGCGATGCTTTTACGGGGAAGGCACCACTTCTCTCCAGCCACCTGCTGCATGGCTGACCCCTGCTCAGTCCTCCAGACGGCAAGGGCTGCTCAGCCACTGCCTGGTGGATGGGGGCCATCCTGAGCGGTCAGATAGGGTTGACGGGGGGTGGCTGGGCTACGGGGCTGGGGGCCGCTGAACGAGCACTGAGCTGGAGGAGAGCAGCCAGGGGCAACTGCAGCCCATAGGCACCATGCGGCTGCATAGGGCACCATGACGTTTGGCACGATTTGAATCCCCAACTTTTGTGGTGTCCTATGCAGCTGTATGTTTTGCCTGTTGGTAGGGACCAATGTTCCCTCTCATCTTTTCCATCCACGGGCATGGTGTGAATGTGCACCATGAGGAGAAACACATACCTATCTGTGGGCACCCTGCTAATCAGCCGGGTGGCATTGGAATCTCTCCTGAGGTGCCGCACAAGGGCACAGAGAACACTGGTAGGGATTGGCTTGCTTCTTTCTCCTGGTGACTTTAATTACTGAGTCTATAATCACCACCTATTATATGCCTCATGCACTTGTACCCTGGTGTATATCTTTAGATAGCAGCTGGGATTTTTTTAATGTTCCCCCATGTCCTAGTACTCCCTCTAAACCCCTTCTGGTGTATTCTGTAATCTTAAAAATGTTGATGAAGAATTTAAATGTCTTTTCTGGGAGCACTCCCGTATCAAGGAAGGGGTCGACTATGTCTTTAACATTCCACTTGATACATAACCCATGTTTGTGTCCAGTCAATAACTAACACATACCTGGCACATAACTAGCACTAACATTCAATAGCAGCACATTGGCCTGTTTTGGGGAATACTTTGTAAAATCTTATTCCCCTTTTCTCCTTAGTCCACAATTCCTACTATTTCTTTTTAAACATTTAAATTCTTGCTCACTCAAAGGTATCTTTAGGACAATTTCTCCATTTTCAAAATATTGTTTTCCTCTTTTATTTCCTTGCCAGGTATCAAGTATATGCTGGAATCCGTACTCATATTATGTTTACACTCAAGCATGCTAATGTCAACATTTCATTTATTATCTCACTTCTGCTTCTTGAAGTATCCTTTTTAATTGCTAGTGTGTCTGACTGCATTAGAAAAGAAATGCAGTGGTAGGTCAGATGTCCCTTATTATGATTATCATCATCATCAATTCAGTTGTCATCATGGGTACAAAATTAGTCTTTTAGCTCTCTCTTAACTACAGGCTCAGGGGCTGCATGTTATCACTGTCTTTAGATCCGCCAGTGTATATATTTAGCAATGGTTACTCCATCTTTATCTATTATACAGAGTGACTATTGTATTATAGAATTCTAAATCCACATCCAGAAAGATGATTTTTCTTGGTATGATTTACTGTCCCATAACTATTGATTTTAATCTCTTCTAGCCCTTCCTTTTCACTTAACTCTTCTACACACATTTTTAAGCCTAAAAGTGTGAAGGAGTTTGTGTCAGACTACATTTTGGCTGCTTACTTTCCAACATGCAATTGCCCAGGTTTCTTACATGTGCTGTTTCCCTTGGCTTTAGCCCAAAATGTCAGATCTAACATTTTATTCTTAAATTGATGTTTCTTCGGGAGCAACATGAGATATAATTACAAAATGCACCATATGCAATTCATAGTGCCTGACCTTCAACTTAGATTGTGGATATAGAGCCTTTAGTTCTGTATGTATGACTGATCCTACTGTTGCTCTATACAGCACCATCAGCACTGGTCTTGTAACCTCCACAGGCAGATTTGAACCTGGGACTGCTGAAACTTAGTATAGGAGCTTCTACCCTTTGAGTAAAGAGTTAGCTGGCTCCCAGCCCACGCTGTAGAATTCTCTAGTTCTTATCTGTTGCTGTGGGCTAAGTGCCACTGCATGGGACAGTGAACCATACTAGGGCTACGTCTACACTGCACCTCTCTTGCGCAAAAGCCTATGCAAATGAAGCGTGGATTAGCATATTGCTGCACTTCATTTGCATAATTAATTATGGCCGGTTTTGCGCAAGAGGCTTTTGCGCAAAAAAGAGCTGTGTAGATGGCTCTTTTTTGCACAAAAACCCCATCCTGTGCAAGAGCCGTTCTTCGTCATTTTTTCAGGAAGAACAGCTCTTGCGCAAGAGGGGGGGTTTGTGAAAAAAGGAGTCATCTACACAGCTCCTTTTTGTACAAAAGCCTCTTGTGCAAAAATGGCCCCTAATTAATTATGCAAATGAGTGTGGCAATATGATAATCCATGCTTCATTTGCATAAGCTTTTGCTTTTGTTCAGTGTAGATGTAGCCCTAGGTGTGTGGGTTACATACTTCCCCTAGACAAGGAAGGGGGTCTCGAGCTTCAGAGACCCAGTTGAGTTCCCCAACCAACCCCCACTTGTAACCACCACCAGCTGGATTTGAACCTTGGATCTTCGGAGCTTAGTATAGGAGCCTCTACTCTCTGAGATAAAACCCAGATGGCTCTCAGTCCATGCTTTAGAGGTCTCTTGTTCTTAGCTGTTGCTGTGGTCTAAGTGCCACTGCATGGGACAATGAACCACCCAAGGTCTGTGGGTTACACTTTATCTGCCCTCCAATTACTTTGAAATAGATTAATCCTACTTTTTATTTCTTTGTAACATTTTCTACGTGGCCATCCCAAATTTGATAATAAACTAACTATACATACATAAATGTGAACAGTTAACCACATGCACCTTTATAAGATAGAAATTACACATCTTTAATTTTTCTTCTAGAGAAGATGATTACATTTGTTTTAAAGATTGTAAGTTTAAATCCCCACGCATTTGCCCACTCTGAAACCGAAGGCTTCACTGATTCTTTCTCAAGCCACTTTAATTCTTGTGTTTAATCCATAGAGCACAATCACCCACAAATAAAATAATACTCATTCCTGTCCTTACACTTTTTCGGACATAGCTTATCATAATGTTAAACCAGGCAGGGTTGATAACATTCCACTGAGAAGTGCCATGCTATAGATACCATACCTGATAAGACTTTCCTTACCCTAACCTATGGTCATCTCACTTAAAAAAATCCCCATCCACCAGAACAATGTTCCTTTAATCCCTGCTCTAAGTTATATAACAAACATTCCCTTCATAACACAATATACATTTGACAATATCCACAGAAACTCCACAGTTACAAAAAGTATGAACAAGAGTATATGTTTCTGTTTCTAATTTTACAGTAAGATCAATCACAGATCACCCTTCCCTAGAATCACTTAGCACATTATTTAAGATGTCATTTTTTTCCAACTATGCAACTAGCCGTTCATTTATCACTCTCTTTTCATAACCTTATCCACACAAGATGTGATAACCATTGGCCTATAAGCACCAATTTGCATAAGTAACTTGGCTGCCTTTCCTATTGTACTATCACCACATGCTTCTATCCTGCTGGCATTACACCTTCTCATATACTATTATACAATTTTAATAAAAGCTTCAAACTCCCTGGAGGTCAATATTTATGCATTATATTACCTACTCTATCTTTTCCGGGGGCTGTGTTTTTATTTTTGTCTATAGCTTTTGAGTTTCTGCATACTGAAGTTTTCATTATCTATAATTTCCCCAACCATTTAAAATCTCAATTTTTTTGATTGAATTTTCTCCTCCTCCCCTCCCTTGAAATATCTGTATTTTGATTCCTATCATTACAACTTTTTTGAACACTTTCATTAGGATTTCTGCTTTTCCTGTTATAATTTATAAACTTCATCCTCTTCAATAAGATCACAAAGAAAATTTATTGCCTGGCGTTCTGTTCATTTTCCTAAATCTCTGCAACCTTGGGGTACATCTAGACTACATGACTCTGGCGACAGAGGCATGTAGATTAGGCTACCCGGTATAGGAAAATGAAGCGGCGATTTAAATAATCGCCGCTTCATTTAAATTTAAATGGCTGCTGTGCTAAGCCGATCAGCTGTTTGTCGGCTCAGCGTGGTAGTCTGGAAGCTCCGCAGTCAACATCAAAGGCATTTGTCAACCTCCCAGGTAAACCTCATCCCAGGAGGCATACCTGGGAGGTCGACAAATGCCTTTGATGTCAACCACAGAGTGTCTAGACTACCACGCTGAGCCGACAAACAGCTGATCGGCTTAGCACAGCAGCCATTTAAATTTAAATGAAGCGGCGATTATTTAAATCGCGGCTTCATTTTCCTACGCTGGGTAGCCTAATTTACATTCCTCTGTTGTCAGAGGCATGTAGTCTAGATGTACCCTTGGTGAAGTGTTTCATTTCCCTATAATTCTTCTTTCAACTCTTATTGAGTCCTCTTATTAATTCTCTGTTCGCCATATTTCCTCATGTTTTGTCAGGCCTCACTATTCATTGTGGTTTATACCTTAGGGTACGTCTACACTACAGCGCTAGTTCGAACTAACTTAGTTCGAATTAGTTAATTCGAACTAAGCTAGTTCGAACTAACGCATCTAGAACTAAAAACTAGTTCGAACTAGCGTTTTGCTAGTTCGAACTAGTAAGTCCACATTGAGTGGACTCTGAACAGGGCTTAAGGATGGCCGGAAGCAGTGCCGGCAGGGCATAAAAGGAGGACTTAGAGCATGGAGATACTGTCTCAGGCTAGCCGAGGGCTGCGCTTAAAGGGTCCCGACCCCCACCCCGGACACACAGTTCTAAGGGGTGCCCCGCTTGCAAAGAAGTTCTGGCTTGGAGTGCCCTGAGTGCCCACACTGGGCACATCACACCACTCGGCCATCAGCCCGGCTGCACTTGCCGCAGGCTGCCATCTGGGGAGAGGGAGTAATTGGGGGGCTGCAGGAGAGCTCCCACCCCCAGAAGCCCGCAGAGCCAGCCCAGTCCTCCCCATCGGGGGCTCGTACCCCATTCCTCCCTCACCTCCTTCCACTTACCCTTCCCTAGCCCCCCTTCTTATTGATGTACAAAATAAAGATAACGTTTCTTCCAACATTGACTCTGTCTTTATTGAAAAAAACTGGGGGAGACTGGGAAAAGGAGGTGGGAGAGGGGAAGAGAAAGGCTGGGAGAGGGGAGGGCAACTAACATGATCAGGGGTTGGGAACAGGTCCCAGATGAAGAGAGGCTACAGAGACTGGGACTGTTCAGCTTAGAAAAGAGGAGACGGAGGGGGGACAGGATAGAGGTCTCTAAAAGCAGGGGTTGGGTGGAGAGGGTGCATTCAGAAAAGTTCTTCCTGAGTTCCCATAAAGAAGGACTAGAGGACACCAAAGGAAAGGAATGGGTAGCAGGCTTGAAACTAGTAAGAGAAAGTTGTTCTTCTTGACAAAGCAAATAGTTAACCTGTGGAACTCCTTGCTGCAGGAGGCTGTGAAGGCTACAACTAGAACAGAGTTTAAAGGGAAGTGAGATCAAGTCATGGAGGTTGGGTCCATGGAGTCCTATTAGCCAGAGGGTAGGAGTGGTGTCCCTGCCCAAAGTTTGTGGAAGGCTGGAGAGGGATGGCACGAGACAAATGGCTTGATCACTGTCTTCGGTCCATCCCCTCCAGGGTCCCTAGGGTTGGCCGCTGTCGGCAGACAGGCTACTGGGCTAGATGGACCTTTGGTCTGACCCAGTACGGCCATTGTAAGCTCAGGGCTCAGGGTCGGGGGTCTCAGTGGACCCCCTTGATTTTCATGCACACCTGGTCCTGGGTGGCCAGGCTGGCAGCTCTCCTGCCCTAGACGGCCACTTTCCTGTGCCTAGTGCAGAGATCGTGGACAAGGTCCATTATGTCTGCACTAGCCCAGGAAGGTGCCCACTTCTTGCGGTCCTGGGCAAGCTCCCGGGAGCCGCCAGCCTGGGCCTGGGGAGAGGG